GTTCCAAGATCCAAGCTCATCAAGATTGGAAGGAAGTGGAGTCACACGACTGCGATTACTTAACACCTTGAGGACAAGGTGTTTCTTTGGGGTGGGGGTAATGTTAGGATCTGTTAATGACTTGGGAACGTGTTTGGTTAGTGGGCTGGTATAGTTAGTAGGAATTAGTATAAATAAAGGGCTAAGTAGCTCACTAGGGGAGGTGGTGATTTTGAGAGTTTTGGGAGACTGAGATTAGGGAGAGCGGTGGTCTCTCGAATACCACCAAATTAGGAGTCCTTGGAGTACTCGAATTCTCCGTTCTATCCTTTACTTTTCCGTTTAGTAGTGTTTGGCAGTGTAATTGGGGATGGGCTAGTGGTTTTCAATAAAAGAATTCCCTTATTTCTATCCAATTTCTTGTCAATTTCGGGATTGATATGTGTATGTTTGGCTGTGAAAAACCTAGGTACCTAACACCATGTCTCTTTGATTTTACAATTAAAGATCAAGCCATACAACATGAAACGTATAAAGAACCAAAACTTTGCAAAGATCAAAGGAACCATTGATTTTGCAACCTTTCGCATACTGTAGATGAAGAAAGTTTTTACTCCATTCTTTGAATCTCAAAGGGGAAAAAAAAACACCGACTCTCTAACGCCGCCAAAGTTGAAAAAACACGTTTATGCAGGATCAAGAGAGAGATTTTTTTTTCCTTGATTTGTCAACTGAGAAATTTTGATTAAGATAAAAAGAAAAGTACAGTAGGGAGAACATGGATAGATCTAAACAAAGAGAATGGTACTAATCAAATGCACTGCATTCTCATAATAAAGAGAATAGTAAAAAGAAAATACACTGCATTCTTATAATAAAAGTAATTTACCCTCTGAAAATAAATAATATTTGGCATAAAAGTGTACCTTATCATTATTTGTCTTTTCACTCTCACCATCATCCTCAAAAAAAGACAGCCCGCTTTCAGAAGTGTGACTTCTGATACTCAAATAAGCTTCTATCCCGACTATAACTCTTTCAATCTCCTCAGGAACTTGCTGCATATTGATGTGCCATCACATCAACCAAGATCGAGTGGAAGATATAAACTATGGGACAACATATGTAACTAAAAGCGTAGAGTAAAAGCAATAGTGAGTGGAAGATATAAATACTAAGCGCTCAATCTGTGTTCTCTGTAACTATCTTTCATACCAAATAATACAAAAATACATTCTGCAATGCCAATTGCCACCTGAATGAGAATATGTTTATTAAGCACAAAAATGGTAGTACCTCAGTTAGTTCTGCTCCTCCCCATGGGAGACAAGATAAGATGCATGTAATATAAAAGTCAGCTTGTGCTTGCCAGGCTGGATTCCCCTTCTCCTCGTCAACTGTTGTGGCAGCTGCTGACAATAGCGTCTCAAAAACAACAACCAGTGAACTAGGCTGGATAACTTTACTGCACATCTATAGAAGAAAGATTAATCACAAGTTACAACAAGAAAATGTGACGTAAATGCACTACTACAGTTATGTAATTATCTAAGGCACGATGAACATGATTAAAGACCAACATCCATAACTGAATTAATCATAAAAGTGAAAAAAATACTTGGCCAAGCCTGGAGAAAAAAAGGATAATAACTTTATCCTATTCTATTCCTCTGATAAAAGGAGAAAAAAATATACTTTTACCAGTTGAAACCAAAATGGAAGACGGGAAAAGTCCAACCAAATGGAGCAAATAGTACACAAGTAATATTCATA